AGGTACTCTGTAGTACTCACAGTCTGTGTATCCTTCAGATTTAAAAAAGAATAAACCACATATTTTATTCTCTCTCCTCGTGACCCTGGAAATAAACACAGGTGCTTTATCCAGGATCAAACTGTTTGCATGAATGCAGATTGACATGGGTCATCAGAGATAAATAGTGTTTGGAGGAGAATAACATTAAAAGTTGGACACAATCAATTCCAGGAAACACACGGGCCAGTGTTTCTGTAGGTGTGGTGAAAATAAAGCACGGACAAATCACTCGTGCCCTGTGTGTTGTGACTTTGGGGCTGGATGGAAACAGCAGCTGTTGGCCCACATGGGTCAGACTGGAAACTGAGGTCAGTCCATCAGCCTTCACAGCAATGCTGCAAATCACTGATAGAGCTGCGATCGCATCATCAATTTCACATTTGCAAACAGGCACATGAACATGACCTGAGCAGCCCCGCAAACTACATGCAGGAGTCAAATCAACACGAAGCATCGATACGTGGAAAGATAAAACACCACCAATCAAACCAATCAGATCGGAAACACGTTTAAGAATAAAACCTCAGAGTAACACTTACATGTATGTTGAGGCAGAGTATGACTGCTCCTGTAACAACAAGAGATATGTGCTGATTTCAAATGTTACTCCGCTTCTCGTGTGTCCTCGTTGTGAAAGGTGTGAAACCTGGAACCCGGAGCTTCAGCCTCAGAGCCGACACCCTCACACCCGACACGCTGATCACACGTCCGTGGAGCCGCTTACAACCGAGACTGACGGGGAAAAACGAGTCAAAACCAAGATTAAAATCCTTAAAGTGCGCCTCTGCTGCTTCGTAGCACTGATTGTAAGCGTGGAGACCATCCTCCTCCTCCTCCGTGCGCGTGAGGAGCAGACGAGCCTCCTCCTCCTCAAACCTCCAAACTTTAGCTCCTCCCACTGCACACGCTGCTGAACCCACACTGAGGAGCTGCTGTCTGTCACTGTGACAGTCAAGCTTCTCCTGTTCCCTCTTCTTGTCACAGAAAATCCGAAATGAGCCAAAGAGTAAAATACAATGATAGCAATAAAAAACTAACTGTGCTGCATGATCTCCTCTGTAGTAAAGCAAAGGCCCCTAAACTCCTTTGGATCATCAGTCAGACTTTCAGTAGCTCTTAAAAAATTCAACTGTCTTTTGATTGATTTTGTTGTTCATGTATTTATGGTAATAAGTATAGGATCCATGTTCAGGGTTAGTGCAGCGGCCCTGAAGTACGGTGGCTGAAAGAGCTCAACTTCCTGTCAATTAAGAAAACCAATGCAAATTGACAAAACACGTGCTAATTAAGAAATCAACTTCATCAATTGCAGGACACATGCGCTGCAAAAAGTCCCAACGCATTGCAAATACAGAAACGCGCTGCAAATATCGATAACGACAACAGAAATGTTTCCAGGGGACCTAAAAAAGTGATGAACCTGGCTGTAGTTCAACACTCTGAAGTTATTGAAGTCTGCTACCCTTCAGTGGTGATTGAACTTCACAAAGCTCATAAGAACAACACAAAGGCAAACTATAAAACACAGCGACATCTGCTTTTAACCTGCTATCAACAAGGCTCATCACTGATTGGACAGAAACATTGGCTACATGTTATATTTTTCAGTCCTTTTGTATTTTCTTCTTTTCTTCTTCATTTTCTAATTTGTGGTTTTCTTTTTAGTGCTTGTGTTCTCTTTTGCTGTTCTTTCGTTATGTTTTCTTAACAGCTGTTATATTTCTTATTTGATGTTGTGATTTGCCTTTCAAGGCCACCATTAGGGTTAGGAGTAGACCATGCAAGAGTATGAAGTAAATAGAGTTTAGTCAAGTCCAAGTATTAGAGTGTAAGAGAAGAGAAGAGATACAGTGTGGTGCAGCGTTCCTCTCTGCCCCTGCAGCCGTCACAGAACCAATGACAACTGACAGCGTCCACCACAAAGAGAATTAGAGGGGATTATGTAAAACGAGCAACGACTTGAACACAACCGTTCGTGTAATCTCTTTTTTAGCTGTGGAAGAGAATAAAAAGTACTGTGGGCTTTTGTCATCTCATTCCTTCAGTCTGTCAGTGTGCAGGCCCCCCCCCCCCCCCCCCCCCCCCTGCTCCGCTTAGGACGTCCAAACAAAATCATCTTGATCTTCTCTTGATGAGGAGGGACACACAATCAGCCTTTCATGCATGACACAAAACGTCACACCCGCAGGGAGCAGATAACGTTAATAATTAGTCTGCAGCTTTTTGCTCTCACTGTCATGTGACAATGTGTGAATTTATCAGATATTTTGACTGTTACTGCTGAGCAATGTGATGACAAGTCACCATCCAGGTGCACAAGGCTTGAGGCTATATCCTGAGACGTATGTGCTGACACTTTATTCTGGAAATGTTGTCATCGTCTGACTGGTTCTTTATGACTCTACTGCAGATAAAAGCCAACGCCGCCCCCTCCCTCCACCCCCTAAGAGATAGGCGTGTCATGTAGGGGTTAAACTGATGATTCTTATTTTGACTGTATGCATTACACAATATTCTCTCATAGACAGACGCCAAATCTTAGTTGCTCCCTTTATCTGCCGAAACCCACAGTAATCCCCCAAATTAAATCAAGGATTACTTTTGAGAAGATTAAAATCATCCAACTTATGCAAAAAGTCAGGCTTGGAACAGCAGGGGGTGGATGGACCACTCAGCAGGAGCAATCCCTCTAAAGATGGAAAAATACTCTATTCTCTCCGACATGGCAAGAAATCCTACAAATGAACAGTTTGAATGAGTATTTCAAAACAAACAAGAAATTGTTAATGTAAATTAGCCTATGCGTAACATCGAAAAAACTAAATTGAAGTGCTGAACATTCGTCAGACGTGAAACTGAAGATGCACAACAAGATGCTGAGTAGCTCTGCAGGTCCAGGTGAAGCACTTCTCTAAGAATTAAAAGACCCCCTGATAATGAACATGACAGGTTTATTTATTGAAGTTATTAGTCTAAAAAAAAATCCTCCGTTGAGGCAGTTTCAAAAGATTGCATTTCACGAATGCTCAGTCATCTACTGCTTAAAACTTAATCTGCCTCTGCACTTAAATAATACCCGTCTGTCGTAGCACGCAAACGCACCAGGGAGCATACGGCAGCCATTCATATTAAGGTCACAGCCACCCAAGGGGCTTTTATTGGGGTTAAGTGTATGATGGACCCTTTCAGTGATACACAACACCAGATTAAGAGACTTGCCTAAATGTTTTGTGGAGTTACCCAACAAAAGCTGTAAAGTAGCAGCTCAAAGCACAGCCAACATGTCGATGATATCAACCAAGTGGTTTTCTCAACCCTCAAATGGTGGGATGTGGATGTGGATTGCTTAGTGGTACTATCCAGTACATTCAAAAGTAAGAATCGTTATGATCCATTAGGAGGTTTTTGGATTTATTTAGTTTTGGGTAAAGGTGTAGCATTTAGAGCGATGTTGGACATTCCACATTGGACAACTGAAGACACCTGGGACACATCAGAGAGTAGCGGTTGCTGTCCTCTGGTCAACACAGGACTGTGGAGACAGTAACCCAAAGCGGGGACTCTTTTCACTACTTCACTGTGCAAGGGGACACTTCCCCATCTCTTGTGAACTGAAACCATACGTCTGACTTGGCTCGGAGCATCGTTGAAGGAAAGAACCAACGGAGCCTGTTGTGGACTAACTGGTGGAAGATGTTGTGAATTTCAGCTGAACAGACTGAGCAATTAATGACCTCCCTAGCCCAATAGTCATCACGCACATAGAGAAGTGAGGTATATGATTGATGTAAACTCGATACACCGCAGGGACTGACTTAAATGTTACCAGGTGAATGTGGAGGAGCAATGAGAATAGGCCTCGGATGTAATAGAAGGGAGCCAGGTACAGTTCAGTTTCTTGTAAAAGATGGGACTTTGGATCAGTGGTTGGTCTACGATTTAAGTCCTGATAAAAATATCTCAACAACCATTCCTTTGTCCATGTTCTCCAGAGGATGAATCCTGCTGACTTAAGAAATATGCTGAATTTCCCCCCAGAGCCACAGCCACGAAATGTGCCCAGTACTCTGGTTTATGACCACATACATGCAGACTTAATGGCATTTGTCTTTAGTGCTGCACAACTAGTCCCTGGTGGCAAGTAAGAGTTGTTGACATGCAACAAGGTCGAACTCATGGCTTGTGCGAGATGTGTGCTCCCCCCTGACTAGTACACTCCACCCCAGCAGGCAGCGATGAAGTCGGAGGAGCCCGCAGCCGCTGCCTCATGCACAGCTAACAGCACCATGACTTATGTCTGTATCCTCACCTTGTCCTGCTCCGGCAGTTCGAAAAAATGTCCCCACATCTCACTCTCCGTCCCCACACAGGAGACCTTCTCTCTTCACACCGATGATTCATGACCAACTGACGCAGAGCTCCAATCGGAAAGTTTCCCTAATAAATTATCCAGAGTTTGCTTGTTTTGACAAGTTGGTCACATATCATGGACTGGAGTGACTTGCTGTTTTGATGCCTTTAAATCAAGCTGTAAGCGCTCCCCATGTCTGCCACACAAACTGACTTCAACTTCAAGAACCAGATCGTAATCAGGATAAATGTATTAGTATGTGAAACCATCATCATATATTATTGCTGCATGGTTGCTGGATTTTCAAGGTAAAACATTTAATCTCTCCTGCAAACTTGTGATGTCAAACCTGCCACAACTCCGCCAGGGAAATACTTTGGACCTTGATACAGTTTACAGTCAGCTCATCCAAATGAAAAAGAGTAATATCTTCTCACTCAGTCCTGGTGTTACACTGATGCTGCTTTCAGACATGCACTGAACTGGGGTCATATTCCTGAAATTTTGTGTAGGGGCCGCATGTGAGAACACAAATGTCTGACTCAAATGTGCAGGTTTTTCCGACCAGCCCGATAGTAAAATGTCTGAAGCCGTTTTCCGACATGAACATAAACAAAATGTTCGGACAAATGGGTCCCAACTATCACAAAATGTTGCCTTTCACCTATGGACAACACAACAGGAAATTATTTGGGTCGGATCCAAAACAGGAAAATGTCAGGTCAGGGGTGGAGTCTGGGTAGAGCATGCAGTAACAAGAGCACATTCATTACGTATAATCTCCAATGCAGAAATCACTGTTTATGTTTACAGCACTTCGACACTGGTGTCGGCCCTTATCGCCAAAAGCTTCCGAATCCCGTCTTTTAAGATATAAGTATTCTTTTTGTTTTTCCAGTTTTGCATCTGTCGTATGTTAGAGACGTCATCAACACGCCCACTTACGCGCTGTTAATTTTCCAGACATTTTCTTGCTGCATTCTCACATGAGCTCACTTTGGAGATTTTACTCAGGGGCTGGTAGGAAATACAGAGCCTGTGACTCACGTGAAGCAAAATTGAACAAAACAAAAAGCATACAATAATTTCAGGATGTAAATAAGGTGTTAAACAATATGCTGCGTTCTCCATATGTGAAAGGCAAAGTCAATGTCCAGAACACATTGTCCAGACATTTAACAGAGTTCATGTCAGAAAACAGCTTCACAGACCAACTCTGTAGAAAAAAACAATAAAAGAATAGAATACAGAACAGAATAACAAAGATAGAAAATGATGAGCTGTTTAACTGTGGTTTCTATTCTTTCCTGCTGCTTCACAGCCTCTCCCTCTCTCTCTCTCTCATGCTCACACATGTCGGTTTGCCTGTGTTTTTATGGTGTCAGGGAAAATAATTAAACAGCAGACGCAAATCATGTCATAGACTTTAATTGACTCTTACTTTCATTCCTGACATGCTCAATCACCTCAGTGAGTTTTTTTTTCATCTTTCATTCCTGCATTTAATTAAAGCTCAGAGGTTTTATCAATACAGTTTATGATAGAAACTAGTGGGAGCTGAGGAGTGGATGAGCGAAA